ATCACTTTGATATATTACATGGCAAGTCAAAGATCCCACGCATAGCCAAGTAGAATGTTTGGGCAAGTTCTGTTAGCGAGCACCTTGATGCACGTTGATACAGTACACTCACAAACGTAGACACAGATACGCAATCACACAGGTTAACATTGATACATGCACCAACACATACACGATACACTCACATTTACATAGCTGCATATTTACTGTATCCACTCGGACACACCCGGATACATATACACAATTGCACAAACACGTGCTTTCTGTGGACTTTGGTGTATTTATGCGTATTTGTATCAATGTGCGCGTACATTACACGAAGAGCGTATTACACCTGCGTACACATCTATGAATTCATATGCATACTCTCACAGAAACAGTACACTGTAGGGAGCATTGGACATGAAGGGTCACATTTCGTTCCTTGCACTGGGGCCCATGCCAACTATGCTACCACCAATATAACTATAATAATCTGTAGAGTCATTTCAATAATACATAAATTACATCTGCAATAATAATGTTAGTACTGTCTCCCGTCGCAGGAATGTGGAATTTCGGCTACTGGGGCAGAGCCGACCTCAAAAATGAAGCAGACACTTTGTTTTTTTTACTTTAAAAATATAAAAGCCACGTAACTTCACACGGCGTAGAGGAGGGATTGATAAAGGACTGTGGAATTATCATCATTACAGCACAGTCGTCTGTAAACACAATGTACAGTGGTGGCCCTTTGAATAGATTGCTGTATGGAATTGGCCAGACATCCCAATGCAGGACCCTCTTGAATAAGAGAGTCTTCAAACTCGGTGATGTTTACTTGGATGAACACAGGCCACGAGTACTGGATGTGTCACGTGGACTGGTCACCTCCACGGGAACATGGGATTTCCATGCCATAGGGTTTCACAATGCTCGCAATTAGCTGCCATCTACTGGCCACACCTCGCTGCCCCCACCTCTATAGAGCACGTGGCATCCGCAGGCAAGTCGGTCCTTCGTAGACATTAACCAGGCTCAAAACTGGTTATCTTGGGAAATCCCAGGAGGTCGGGCGCTTTGATGGTAGTTTTTGCTGTGTAACAATACTAATGGCTCGCGCATTATGACATTACAGCATTCGCAATATTATAATCTGGCCACGTGGTAATCCCTCTCCATAGGGAGGCCAGCCTGGGTCCCAAGCCACTAGCGGTGCGAACAACATCCCCACATTTAGGTCCAATCAGCCACAAAGCCAACAACATGCGATGGTCCAAACGCACTGGTGGGTGCCTACGTGGTTAAATAAAGGACAGGGAGTGACTTTCGCGAAAGTTAATGGAGACGCTCATGCCCTGGCATACGTTACATTGTTCGCAATGTTTTTTTGACATTCCCCACGTGCCCCATGCCAGCATCACTCCACTGCTGGATGAGGAGGGCCTTCTCTCGGCGTACAGGTCGTGTAGGCTATTTGACCATACTGCACAGCGGAGGTTCAGTGATGAGGCTGGTTGGAATTACCGGCGACACGCCGAACTATCAATGTGGGTTTACTCTCCAACACACCGGTGTGCTGGACGAGTTACTCATTGGGCATGTTTTGACGTGGCAAACCTTACCAATTGCCTGTGTCGGGTGGTGGCGGGTCTAACGACACACATTGACGCGATTTACCCCCAAAACCTCTATTATGGAGAAGAGAGTATAGACGGATCAGCGTACAATAGATATTGCTACACTGCACTCTGCTGTTGACCATGTAGCTCCACAACAGCCCACAGCACCTGAGGTTTAATGCACGGCGAGGCCGCACATCCAAACATTCTCCAGGCTCAAAAAGCCTGCTTAGCTTTTGAGATCTTGACGAAATCTGGCGGGCGATTTGATCGCCTGTATGGAGACGTGGCCCACACGTGTCTCCCGGGTCTCGGCTGACACCAGCAAGGGACTTGCAAGACGGTCAGCACAAAGACGGCGCTAACATTGTCCCCTCGCTCATCGGCCCCGAGCCAACTTTGGGAATCCAACGTTACCATGGCGGACGGCAGATCAGCCATCAAGCAGTCGAATGGATGACTGTAATCGAGTAATGTGACTCTTGAAGGTTCGCTGGGCTATGAGGTGGAGAGCAGCCGGCAGCACAACAATGGGCGTTCGTGAACCCATCTGTGTGGCGTTATCTCCTCGTTCGAACAGCATTTCTCTGGTTAGTCAAATGTCCTTCCACGCGCAAACCACGATTGGGAAAATAATTGGCCAACGTTTGACAATTGTAGGGCCCTCCCGAAGACGAGTCGTGAGAATGAGGCTTTTCAACATAAATACATTGAATAGTCACTATGATTATAGTATACATGGTTATGTGGCCAATGGTTAGCTGGCAACACGCTCATCAGACAAGGAAGCGCTGTGAATGAAATCAGCTGCTGAGCTCCATTGTTTTTAAACGCGACTCTTGTGTGACTGTGAATTGGTGTGGTTGTACACAGTATGTCTGTCTATTTAGTGGCGTGTGTGTATATGTGGTGTGTACACATTGGTCTGGTAGTGGGGTATAGTTTTTGTGTACATTGTGGGAGCGGTGGCGCACTGGTTAGCGTTGACTCTCTTGACTATATTTATTCGTGATGAATTAGAATTGCAAAAAAATTTAGATGTGCATGTCTATCTGTGCGTTAGCAGTTGACCGCTCCAATTTAATGCTGCCCCTACTGGACATCTGTGAGCAAGAGCGTTATAGCTCATCGGATTCCTCCAGCATTCAACATTTTGATTCTGATAACATCAGTGGCGAGTGATTCAAACAACAGCTCTGGGGCCTGGCGTGGTGCTGGCCACACTACGACTTTACCTATCCCACGCTAATATTGTATATTTGCTCGCTAACAACACTTGTCCCAACAGCATGCGTAGGCTATACGGGGGATCTTTGTGTGTGTGTGGTGTGCGCATTGCTGGTATGTGTATGCATGCATATGTATTCATAATCAACGTTTTTGGGTTTAGATCGCCTTATTTATAATTGTGTCGTAACCCTCCACCACCCGACACGGCCAATCAGCAAAAAAGTGTCACGTTGACATAAGACAAATAGTTCACTGCTTGATTATGAATAATATTGGTCGCGAAAGCCTACGTGTTAGACTATGTATACGAATGGCTGCGTTGTATTTTGTTGTATTTGTATACGAATTTTTACCCTGCGCTATATGGTTCCGATTTTCATCTTGGCGCGCGATGTGCAGACAAAAAAAAGTTGGCAGAGACAATTCTCAAACTGTGCCCCCTACCGACTGCTCTCGACGATTGTCATCTCGGCGCTGAGTCGGCTGAACACCGCCACCTAACGTCCGCGTTGGCGAACAGTCGCGGCCGGACCGGCATCGTTCCCGAACCAGCGCCTCCTCTTCCAGGAGGCGGGTTTGGCAGAGGTCGCAAACGGGTTTTGATTCATCTTCTTGGTTCTTTCGGTCAAGTCACGTAGAAGGGAAGTAATAAAATAATAAAAATAAAACATAATAAAATAATTCTCACGACGTTTCGGCCACAACGCAAGCAGCCGTCCTTAGGTGAAAACCAGGTCTGTCGTACCTGTACCCAGCCGCACCAGGGTCGCAAACGGGTACCCGTACCCGGCCGGGTAGGGTACGGGTACCAGTACCCGACACCTGGCCGGGTACGGGTAGCCGGGTATCGGGTAGGGTACGGGTATCGGGTACCCGATTGCGACCTCTGGGATGAAGCCTTGTTGCAGGCGCGGGTGGGTTGATTCTAGGAACTTGAATTGTGAGAAGAGACAAGACGTTGGGAAATGAGTGACAGTTACTCACCATTGACTCACGGTCTACCCGTACCCGGCCGCACCAGGGTCGCAAACGGCTACCCGTACCCAGCCGTGTACGGGTAGCCGGGTATCGGGTAGGGTACGGGTATCGGGTACCCGATTGCGACCTCTGGGGTTTGGCTACCGGCGGATTGATCATTGCCGTGCTCACTCACACGAAGAAGCTACCACAGCCGTCCCGGTTTTCACAGAGGCTGTCACCGTGGTATCTCGAAGCTTTGGTGAAATTTGTGATTTTGTCCTGGATTACATCTGCTTTGGGCCTCATGTTCGACTCCTGCCGACTTACTTCGTGGGCGGGATTGATAAAGGAGTGGGTGGACCCCTATGAGCATTCGGCGGTGCTAACGTCACAATGAGCCTCGTTACTGTCGTGGTGGGGCACAGGTGGTGCATCTGCCAGTCAACTCCGTCAGTCAAACCATGGATCCTGGGTCTGTCCCGTGACCTGCCAGCGAGCCTTCCCCACTTCACGTGACCTCAAAGTGCACCTATCCTGGCATCAGCGCTGCGGTGTAGTCGCCGTCCTTCGTGGCAAACGGCGGCTGCTGTTGTTGTTGTCGTTAGGTGTGGTGGGGGAGGTGGGATGCTTGTGGGATGGGACTACCAAGCTCACCATATAATTTGCCTGTTGAGCCTCCCAGAAGTTTGCTGGCATTTCAGCAGGGCAGTTAGGTAGACCCGCCCACAGGCGATAACATCGCCCAGGTGAGAGGTGTGGCAATGAAATGCTGAGCACTGCCAGAGTGTCACGGTGGCCTGGGACAGGAGGTGAATATTTAGGGCAGGCGAATGACGCGCAGTGGCATCCTCCCAAGCGGCTTCTGTGATGGCACGCTCGTGAAACACCAGAAGCACCCACCAGTACCAACAATAATCTTTCTCGACGTGGCGGTGGCGGTGGTACACATTCACACACCAGTGTCTTTTTAAGGTCATGCGATTGGTGGATTGTGCCGAGTTAATCTGTTGCACTATCAAAATCGCCACTGGAGCTGTGCACTTTTAAATGATCTCGATTGAAAACGAATTTCTTTAGAACTGCTTTTTGTGTTTAGTTTGTTGTCCTTCCCCCGCACCGCCAATTAGCGTGGTTGGCTTCGTACGGTGCGAAACAAGTCCAACATACGTACACCAATAGCCATGTTCAATCCACTGTTGTTGTATGTAGGCCTCTACAAGTCGATGCCGCCCCACATGGTCTTGGGATGCCATAAGCCACCATGCTGACGAGCTGATCCCCTCACTCCGTCTCCGCAGTGGACATCCCTTCAGGTGTGTTCCCTCGTTTTGTTGCCACTCCACCATGAGTCGACCACCAGCCATTGTCCCATCTGGTGACGTGTTGTTGTGTCCTGCCCAAGTTCGCTTTTATCTGCAGCCAATATGGCATCCCTCTTTTGGTGTCATTGCCAATAAGCATTCCTCCATTCTTCTGCGTGTACTTTTCAGTTTTTCCATTTTGTCAGTGCCCATGTTTCAGAAAATTGTCATAGCACGTGTAATGTGCGCCCATTGAAAACTGTCATCGTTGGGCACATTAGTATGTTTTTTTATTTAATATCAAGTAACATTTTACAAAATTACCCTGACCTTGTCTTGTTCACATCTGTGTTACATAATTGTGATCATGGTCCACCTTTAATATTTTTCTTAGATATACATACTCAGTTGTGTCTTACAATTATGTCCCTACAATACATTTTGGTTTGTTCAACAAAATTGTTATACATTACTTTAAAAAAATATATTTATCTTTGGCCCAATGTTGCAACCTTCTTTGCTTAGTTTTCACTTATTTCTTATAATTCATTTCCATTGGACATGGTAATGACTATCAGACGCAACATCTAAGATTGTTTATAATTTCTCAATGTGTATATATACGCCTTCATTTCTCATCTACCAACTTCAGAATTTATATTATAAGTGTCACTGTCAATAACCTTGTTGGGAGCATATCTCCTTGCTTGACTCCTCTGTGTTATATTACATTTTCTACATGCAGAAGTAGTATAACTCTTCCATTTTTGTAAATAGTTATCATTGTTCATATTGGTAACTTAAAAGCCTCTTATGAGAGCCTGGATTACTGTATCAATCTTGATTTGAAGCTTTCGTGACTGCAGCAATCCATCCTCTTTGGTTCTTTCGCTAAAGTCACGTAGGTAGAAAAAGGAAATAAAACAAAAATAATCTATCACGACGTTTCGATCGCAACACAGGCAGTCGTCCTCAGGCAGAGAAAAGAATCCAGCCGTGGAACTGCTGAACCAGCGAGAGATATGATTTATTTTCTTTTTCTACATCCGTGACTTTACCGAAAGAACCAAAGAGTATGACTACATCAGTTTCCATGAATCATATGCGTTTTCATAGTTTGTGAAATGCAGGCATTATGGTATTTTATATATTTTCTTTCATATGATGGAATGTATGTGGTGAATGGTGGTAAAAAAACTACATTTTTGTTCTAAATCCAGCTTGCTCAAGTGCTTGATTTTCCTCTAATTCGTGTTATTTGGCTCTCTATGCTCTATATGAACATTATATATACGTATAACAGAAGGCTCATGGATCTATACATTTTTGCAAGTAAGTTTTGTCTCAGTTTTTTTAATGGAACGATTGAGACAATAAAATGTCTCATTTATGTGCAAGCTTTAGTAAATAGTGCCGCTTGTTTGTATCCAACAGCTGTTCTGTGCTTCAATAATGATGTCCGGTAATTTCGTTTTTGGGGGGAACTCTGTTTTTTTTGTCATGCCAAAAAAAGAAATGAGCATAAAAACAGAGAAAGGGAAGTTGATGATTGGCAAATCGCAAAGACTAGCCCTGAAAAAGAAAGATGGAACCATAACCAATGGTAAAGACAGTACCATGAAAATAGTGGAGGATCTATATACGGATATCTATCGCAAGCACATATCTCAGGAAACATTACTTTTCAGTTAAGAATGTTCCAGATTTCAGACTATATGTACATTATACTGGTAGGAACCTCCTGGTTACACCAGCCCACAGGGGATTATTGTGTCCGTCCGTCGTGCAGAGAGGGGCTGGGTGGGGAGGGAGGGGCTGGGTGGGGAGGGGCTGGGTGGGGAGGGTGGGGAGGGGCTGGGTAGGGAGGGTGGGGAGGGGCTGGGTGGGGAGGGTGGGAGGGGTGGGGCTGGGTGGGGAGGGGCTGGTCACCCCGTGGTGCCCTATTTGCGGAATACACCACGCCGCCGTTGACCCTGGCCATTGACCGAGCAACCCAACGTTCCTACCAGCTCCCTCCGCAGCAATGTGTTATGTATTTGTGAGTTCATGGGGTTCCTGCCATACTTAATAACTGGCCAAACATATGAAGTAAACAACCTCTGAATTATGTTATTATAGTTGCTATTACTATATTATTAGTAGTGTAATAGTTCTTGTAACATTCAAATAGGGAGAAAGTCAAAAACAGATAAACGGTGTGAAATAGAGACAAGTTGGCAGGCTCAGATACAGAGAGAGTTGGGCAAACAGACATGAAGACTAACAGAAGGACATGAAGAGATCGTGATAGAGAGAGACAGGGAGCCACAGAGACAGGCACGGAGACAAAAAAACACGTTCAACTTGAACGTTTTATATCGAAGAAACTGACTGTTCAAGCAAAACGTGTTGGGAAATCAAGTCTTAACTCACACCCACCTCAAATATGTATCTCATTTGGAAATTCGATAGTCGTAATATAAACACGATCTTTACACCTATTTTAATAAAAACAAGATACCTTGCGCAAGACTAGTAAGCGGTGGTGCAAACTTGTGCAATGCTGTGATTCAGTGTATTGGAGGTGAGCAGTTCTTCAACTTCAGCCGCAACAGTTTGGAATGCTGTTTTAGGATTTGTTTGGCACACACCACATCATCTCGCCTTGTTTTGTATGTAATTAAATTTCAACCTGTTCATCAAATCATCGCAATATAGGGGTACAATAAAACATGATTATAGATCGGCATACCTAGTGCTCTGGTGCTGGTGCCTTACACCCATACTTCGAGTCAACCTCGCATCGTTCAGAAAAATGGTAAATAAGAAATGAAGCCCTGGAGGTAAGGGTTGGTGGACCACGCAGAGATGTGTGAAACTTCCAAATGCACATGGTTGCAAGGTGGCCAAGATATGGCAATGCAAGCAGACTCTTGAATGCATGTGTGTTGAGCTTTTGGCGTTATCATCAGAGGTGGGACAAAGTCATTGTTATGCAAGTCCAAGTCGAGTCTGAAGTCATCAAATTCATGACTCGAGTCTGACTCGAGTCCAAGTCACATGACTCGAGTCCACACCTCAGAGGTGGGACAAAGTCATTGTTATGCAAGTCCAAGTCGAGTCTGAAGTCATCAAATTCATGACTCGAGTCTGATTCGAGTCCAAGTCACATGACTCGAGTCCACACCTCTGCTGGTTATCATCTCCTGTTGTGTACGAGTTCTTCTCCAGGTTCCCCAGTTTTGTCCCAGGCACAATATACTCGTTTGTAGAATTTATAAAAAAAAAACATTATAATGTAGGACTCTCCTCTAGTCGAATAAAATGGAAGTTTTCACTCCAGAAACTTGAGACTTGGTAAGGCTTTCCCTTTTAAAATAAAGGGTATTAATGCATTCGTTTACAATAACATTTCCAGTCCTCTGCCAATCCAATGATGGATTAAGTTCTTCTCGCTGTCGGGGTTTGGCCAAACTTCACTGCTGTGGTTAGTGTGCGTTGGTGTGTGAAGAGCACAGGGCTGATTCGGATATCATTCACCACTCACATTCACCTTACAATATCATGACTATATATAAAAAAACTCGCAAAATGTATACGACGGGATTAATTTAAAAGTAGTGTCATTTTCTAAATCCCCTTCTAATGACTGTAGAGAGACCCCAGTGAGACGGGGACAAGGTGAGAGAGACACAACACAGAAATGTTGGGCCTCAACAAAATGGCGACTCCCATGCACGTTTGTTTGCCTGAATCCCACGCCCACAGAAGCCACCGTCTCCACAAGACACTGCGTTTGTTCGATCCCTCTATGAGAGTGTTTAATGTACAGTCGTGCTTTGTAAGGGTGCGTGATTGAGAAGGAACAAAAAGATTTTGCGATTACAGTGATTCGCTCCAAGTGACATCACCACTGTATGAGTGACGACACAGCGCACTGTTAACTCCGCCATTAACAACCGCCAGTAACGGCAGGGACATCAGTGCACCGTCTTGCAATCAATGATCAGTACCAATAGCTTGGCTACACTGGTAATATTACAGCACTACCCTTATTAACAATACAATTAGCATCACTACATTTACTGACAGAATTACATCAAAAATAAATAAGTTTTATCATCACAGTGTCACTAGACTTACTACCACAGTAGCAATTAACATGATTAATGTTATTACTGCACTACCACGATAATATATACTAGTTATACTACAAATGTTTAGCTCTAACTGCACAAATTATATCTTTACACTCTCACCTTTATTACAATATTAACATGACTTACTAAACTATAGTACTCTATTAAAATATACAAGCTACTGTATAATCACGGTAATATAAATATTACATTACTATTCACTCGCATCACCGCACTACTCGCATAACTACACTATTAACTGTCAAAAAATGGAATCGGGAATAACTACTGTAATACAACATCAACATTACACCACAGTAATTGTGCGATATCTCAATGCTGGACGGGTTTCATTGACCGTCGTGCTTATCAGTGAGCCACCACTACTCACAGCATCGCATATGGGTACTAGTATGATTTTGAAAAGAGGCATACATCACGTGCCTGGGATATTGTAAATGAAGATTGGATAAGCAGTTTTCTAGCCAATAAACATAATTATGTTATTTTATACCTACGTGAATTTACCGAAATAACCAAAGAGTATATAATTATTGGGTCAAAGCTAATAGTTTGTTTTAAATTAATATTAAACTTGGTTCACCTAAACAACACATGGTATGCTTTCACATGACTCATTCTTGAAATTTGCTGGAGTGGTTTCGAGGGAGCACTTCTCAGGACAAACTTGCAGGCAAACGTGAAGATTACCCTCAAATTTATGTAGATTAGTAAAAAATGGCTGCATGTTTGTGTTTTTTATTACATGATCAAAATATAAAAATCCTCAAGATTTTGACAGGTAATGAGAATTAACATGCACAAAGATGCAAAGGGTACCCATTCGGTGCACAATATCCAAATATATTCACAAGTTGTTCCCTCGGTTTTGTA